GGCCGGTGCGGGATGCGAGTTGGTCGTCCTCTTTGAAGTTCACCGGGTTCCGTGTGTGGAGGTCGGACCACCGGACTGTCAGGCAAGGGTTGGTCTCGTCGGCTGACTAGTAGCATTCTCACCGGAGCGGTCCGAGCATGGCTCGATGATCTTGCCCAGGTGAGATGTGAAACCTCTTCAGGCGGGGCGGCTGCTTGGCAGCAGACGGCAGGGGGACCACTACATATGGGGCAAGGAAGGAGCCTCGGAGGCGATTGAGAGTTTCTCGTACCATGGCTTGGGAAAAACTGTTCCTTATCGGACTGATGGAAGTGAATGACTGGACGACTGGCTCCAATGGCCCTACCGAGATGTGTGGGGTGATTCCTGAGATTAACGGTGGGTACACGAGCGGCAAGTCGGGATAAGGTATTCTGGGTAAGGAGAAAAGGGCGAATGCCTTGCTAGGACCTTGGTACCGCGCTCGCGACGGTTGAGCTGTGCTTGAGGTATGGTATAAAACCCTACCGATAGTACCAGCGGAGAGACCATATTGCGATGGCCGTTGAGGAGACGACCGACCCGTATGTGAGGTTGCCTGATTTTCTTTTATGTGTTCCCCCTCTGTAAAAATTGATTGAGCTTGGATTGTTGAACGGACACTCTTCTAAGTCTGTTCCCCCTCCCATCTGAGTCCGCACGAGTGAGAGATGATCGGAAGGAAGGAGGATAGAGGTCAATTGGAATGGAACCAAGAGAAAGAATGTGGGCAAATGGATGGCCGGCCGAGGGAATTATGAGAAGGAGGTACTTAGGAATGGGGAGGTAAAATAAGGAGACCTTGATGAGGGGTCTGAAATAATTCTCATCTAGGACAAGGGTTGACCTGACCAAAAGGGGTCGGGTGTTGAAAACTAGATGACGCGATGGTTGCCTTCCCCGATCTATACCAGCGGCCCGGAAATGCCAGTAGATGTAAAGGATGGGGTATTGGTCGTCCTCCCAGAAAATGGAACGTGGACGGACCTTGAACCAGCGTATCAAACGGTAATGCTGGAAGGAGAGGATGTTTTCCTTTGTATAGAAACAATATAGACTAATGTCAGCTTGACGAGGTTGTCACCAAGTTTAATGGATTTGGAATTTCGAGGGATTATGGAAGCCCGGGCGTGGGTCTACTTGTCGCAAGATGGGGAGAAAGCTATGATCATAAAGTTGGCACTCGGGAATACACCGGACGAGTTGTTTAGGAAAGCAGAAGCAGAGGTTGTGTGGGCTGCATGCCAACGGAGGGAAATGGAAATAGAAAGGGTAGACGTACGAGTGGAACTTGGGGATAGAGGAAGCATGAGGCGACCCGTAAGAACCATGCGATGTGTGCTGCCCCTATTCCTAGTGGATGCGGTTTTCGGAACCCGGAGCAGGCTAGTGCGAATATGTTAGTCCATGACGAACCTCGGGCTATACCAATGCGCTAGGCAGGATTTTTTTCGGTTATCAGTAAAGATGGGGTCGTTCGAGGGGAACTGGGCGGAAGAGCTGGCCGAGATACTAAACTGTCTTAGCATAGACAATATCTTTGTTCCTAGCGCTGTGCATTGGGGGACGGTCTACAGGAATGTGGCAGTAGGGGAGACGTTCCTAGATGGGGTAGGGGGGTTGATGTACTACGAGGAGGACGACCTCAGTGACGAAGATGAAGATGAAGAGATAGAGGACTGAGACTTCTAAGAGGGGTAGGGTTACTTAACTTAGGGAGGACGGGTGACCTGGTATTATGTAGGAAAGGGAAAGATGACTAAAGAAGAAAGGATGATGGAATACCCCTTCAAAGGCTGGGAACCACAGCGACTAAGAGGAGGAATAGAAATGCCTATACCAACAGGGAACGGATGGAGAGGGACCACGTACGACTGGATTGGGTTGAGGTTGCCCGGGACTTGTCATATGTATGGATAGAACGGATTTGGAACCCGATAAGGGAAGAGGAAGGTTGGGATGATATAGCAGAAGGCAAGGTAGAGTCAGTTGGAACGATTGTCCTTTCCGAGGACGGATGACACCTGTTTTGCACCATGTTAGCAATGGGACAGGACCCGATGTGGCTTCTAGGGGATGCAGAGGCCTGAACCCGAAAGGAAGGCAAGTTGTTCGCCAACGAGGGGTGAGACGAAGTTAGTAGCAGAGTTGTGATGGGAGGATGGAAGGAACTCAAAACCTCCAAGTCTACGGATAACGGCTTGGGTACCGGAATTCATAGCCGACTGGTTTGGGGGGTTCGAGCACATTTTAGAAGTAGCCGACTCCATGAGAAAGGTGCATTTAGAGTGTGTCTGGTTGACTGAGGAGTTCTATAGGCTCTCATTGAAATATGGGCCCTTCAACGGAGATAAAGCCGAGGAAGTCATCATCGTCCTAAGAATAGGCAGGTATGACCGCCTAGAGGTAGAGGCGGAGTCTTGGGACGCCATAGTTAGCCGGGAGGCGGCGGTTGCACCCTCCTACGTAGACGACGTTCTTAAACTATTTGAGGTACTGTGGTTCGACTGAATGAGGCCAAGGGATCGAACACAGCGAAAAGGCCTGAGCATGGAGGGTGCTTCTGAAGTAAGGTGTAACATAAGAAAGGGAGTGTGTATATTAGGCCGTAGATGGTGCATAAGGATCAAAACAAGGGGGAAGTGACAGCAACTGAAAAATGGGGGTCGGGTAGAATTGAACGTATATGAGTTGGGGATAGAGGCAAGAACCAGTGTACAATAAGTAGGGAGGGTTGAAAGACTAAAACACGAAAAGCATGGAATCTCGGTGGGTGCAGCAATCGGACTAAGAAAGCAGGAAAGGAGACATTGCGAGATGGTCCGACGAATGACGTTCTAGGCGGATAGACCTCGTGGGATCCTGCCACCAAGAATATCAGAGGGCAGAGTCGAAATAAGCCTGCCGGCAAAAAATACGGTAGGTAATCTGGTAATGGACTGGGTGGGGGTAAAATTGGTGGAAGATACGGTGTACCTAGTAGTGAAGCTGGAATGGCGGGCGAGAGGGGAGTTCGAGGGCGTAGACTTGAACCGTCCAGGGTGCGTACACGAGATGGGATCCTTACACCTGTCAGAAGAGGGATGATGGACATTTGGGATTGCTTTGGTTTCCGGGGATGACCCCGTGCGAATGTTCGAAGGGGCATGGGAAATAACCTGGCGGGAGGGGTTTGAGTTTGCAGACCCAGAACAAGATGACGTAACGGCGGAGGTAAAAGTCGCCGCGGCAGGGGTTTTCGAGCTGCCAAATGAGGTCGTACGGATGAGTCTACCACCCTTCCTGCTAAGACAAGTGGGAGGCATAGAACGAGTGGAGCAGGCGGTGACTGCCGTAACTAGGCTAAATTTTGACGAAGCATTAATGTATCGAGAATATTATCGGGCCTTTCGGGGACGAACAAGGGCGCGAGGTGCTTTGTATTATAAGAACAGCAGTAAATGCTAGGCCAGGAGTTTCACAAATAAGTGATGAGACGATGTGGAGAGTCATCAGGAGAGGGGTAGGTTGGGGCGAGGCCTACATAGATGATCTCTACCGACTGTACGAACAACAAGAGGAGGCTACTGCTCCCAGGGGTATAGAAGGATAGCTGAGACTAGAAAAGAGAAATGAAAACACGAAGGGCAAGGGAGACAGTAGGTGGGCGGATTCTGAAGATTGGTTGTAACCCTTTCTATGTGGACTATGCAGGAAATCATCCAGGTAACGATGGCAACAAGACATGTGCGAGTGGAATGTCAGCCCCGTGTGCGAATGGAACGCCAGCCCCGGTACCCCGGACCGCCGTGGAACAATGGTGGACGATGGGAAGTATCCCTCCCGTCGAGTTCTACCTATCGGGGGTTCGACGTAGAATGGCGGGGCGTGACTTTGGGAAGGGACGCCGCCTTCATGTTGATAGAATGTCGGTGGACAGGAATGAGACTCAATCGAGGACCCGGAGATGATCTGTTCTCCATCTGGAGGTTACCGAGACCATGTATCTGCTTGAGATCGGCTGACATTCGTTGGGGGTAGAGATAGCACAAGGTCACGAGTTGGCACCGGTCTTTCAAAGGGCCGCCCGAACGTTGACCCGGATAGGACATTCGATCAGGGAAAGAAGGAACGTGGGCTTGCTAGCCCGGGTGGAGATGGGAGGTTGGAGGGAGTTCAGGGCACCAACCACACCGCTGAGGTGCCGGGTCCCCCTTTTTATGATAGATCTCGTCTTCGGGAGCCTCGCAAGGGCGCGGGAGCTAGCAGACTCGGCAATAATGTGGGCAGACCACTTTTCCTCTCTAACCATCGGGATGTTCTATGATGTCGCCGTGAGGCATGGGCCGTTCTGGGGAAACATGGCCCACGAGTTACTGGAGGTCATCCACATCCTGATATTTCGTGCGCCCTGGCTAGACCAGATAGGGCACGAACGCATAATCCAAAGGGAGATCGAAATAGGAGAGAGCTATTTCGCAGGGGTGGCTGAGCTATTCGAGGAGCCGACCGAACCAGAAGAACCACGAGGGCGCGAGCGGGACTAGGATCCGCAGGCAGGCCAATAGGGCAGATCCAGTATACTTCGCTGCGTACGGAAATCCGTCGATGGGAATACGAAAGGGGCCTCGGACCCGAATGCCTAAAACCCACTAGAAAAACAAAGAAGGGGGTAGACTCCTAATGAGTGACCATAACCCGGAAGGTAAAAAAAACGGGAAACGCTGCTCGGAAAGGCTTCCCCTAGCAGGATGCCTAACCCGGACTCCCTCGCGTCGGTCAACGGGACAAGGGCACTACAAACGAGCTTGTGATAAAGGAAGCCCAGTCACGTTCACAGCTCGGCTGGGCGGCAGGGCCAGTCGTGGCTCCTCCTTAAGGAAGGGCAATCAGAAAACGGGGATAGGAAAGGAGACTATAAAGATAAGCCAACAGAGCTGGGAGCCTAAGGAACCTAAAAACCTCGCATTGCGTGTGTCCTGGGAATTTTTTGGCTTATGCAGAACTAGGAAAAATGGCAACGGAAGAGGAGACAGATAACCGTAAGAGTGAAGGAGAACCAGGCTTAGAAGGCAATGCCGCGCAAAGCGAAGGGGGGCAGAAGGACAGAGAGTCGATAAATCCGGATGGTACCAAAGGGAACCGGAAGGAAATCTCCATAGGAGAAAGCTCGGGGAAAGCCGGGGGAAGCAGGCAAGGGAACCAGGGGGCCAAGGAAGGCAGAAATAAGGATAGGACAAGCCCCCGAAACTCGGAAGGAGCCATGCCTAAGAAAGTACGGGTCACGGACACAAGGCGCAAACTAGCCGAGATAGACAAGAGGACCGCGGAATACAAGGCAAGACTGATTGAGGAAATGATGATTGGGAACGAAGAAGGTCCTCTGCAGGAGGAACCCCGGGACGAACGGAAAGCCAGCCAAGGTGGGACTGGACAAGGGGATAAAGGTAGTGATCGTGGGGAAACGCCGAGCAAGAGAAGGAAAGAGAGAGAGAACTCTCCAGGGATGGAAGCACAAAAGGCTACGACTCCGCCAGCCATGGATAGTAGGGCTAGCCGCCTGCCGATCACGCCAGCAGTAGCGTGAGGATGCGAAGGACTTTGGAGCCTTAGGGAAAGAGTGTTGGGATGGTTTGACCCGGAAGGAACTATGAAAACCAGGGAAGGGCAGAAGACCGGCAAGGAGAGCCCGGATAACAGTGTGGCAGGCGAGGCCAGCAGCTCTGAGGGCGGCCTTAAGAAGATAGTGTCGTCCCTCGCTTGAGCACTAAACAAAAATCAAGGCTATCTGGCATACGCCAAGAAAAAGCCGACTTTCGATGGAGCAAACATCACGGAGTTCCTGATCGACTACGAGAACCTAGCTGCGTTACTAAAGTGGACCGAGGAGGAAAAGATGGACCACCTAGGACAGCATGTGTCGTTAAGCCTAGGACGGGACATAATGGTTATTGTAGCCGCAAGCCGGTCTTGGAAGGAGACTCGGGATGTGATGATGAGGAAGTACCTAGCGGCGGAGAAAATGGCAACGGAGGCCGATCTAGCGGCAGTTCAGAGGAAGAACTTCGCAACGTACAATGATTTCCTACGGGAATTTACTCTAGTAGCACTAAGGATCCCCGGGGTTACGGACCGGATAATGAGCAAATATTTCCTCAGGCAGTTCTCCGAGTTCGACAAAGACAAGATCCTGTCAGCCTACTAACAGACGAGCAAGTTCGTAAACACACGGGATGTTGATTTTAGCACGGTAACAGATCTGGCTGAGAAAGCGGTAGTAATGAAAACGTTGTCCTTGCTCAAGGAAGGATAGATCATAGATCTGACCGGTAGGACGGGCGACAAGGTAAAGAAGGGGATTGAAAGTCTACATGAACGTGTGCACGGGGTCGACAATAAGATTGAAAGGATAGAAGACGCGCTAATGGTTATGCAAGCGCAAGTATCCCGACCTGCCCTCCCTCCCAACGAAGTTGTGGTCCCGCCAGGTGTGGCAAACCGGAGATACGGACGGAGAGATCCTGCTAACGAGCAATGCAAGTACTGCACCGCGATAGGACATTATGTGCGCGCATGCCCAAAGCTCAACCATGATATTCTGAAAAGAAGGTGTACCAGGTCGTTAAAGGGGGAGATATTTGGACYACAAGGAGAACGGGTGAACTGRAACTCACYAGGAGGGATGCGGYGASYCATTATCATGCTCAACGGGTTAGAAATAACAGTCGTAGAAGCCGAACCGGTGGGTGAGATCATCTGGGATCAACTCCGGGGGCGCGGACCGCAGGCCAACTTTATTTTGGAAAGCGACGGACGTGATAGGGTGAACGCAACCACTCGACTGGGAACGACCGGGAGAAGGATTAACCGTGACACCATTATGGAGGAGGTCGCTGGAAGCTCCGAACCCCAAGCAGAGCCTGAGGCCGAGGAACGAAAGAAAGTCTATGGGAAACTTAGGGAAGAGGAGCCTGCGGACAAGGTTACCGCCGCTAAGTAAAAGTTTAGATATCAAATCCCGATCTTAACCTTGCCTGAGCTCGACGACACTATTAGCAAGTTACTAGGAACCATGGTGTCGGTGTCTTTTCAGACCACGTTGTAGGCTAGCCCTAACCTTCAGAGGAGTCACGGGGACTTTAAGGATCTCGAAAAGGCATTTGCAGACATTCGGTTGAGCTTGCCTGACCGAAAGGGCGGCGAAGTCATGAGATCACCACCCGGAACGAAGCTTAGCTTTCATGCGCTACTCGTAGGGAAATTGAAAATCCAAATCGAGAGTCATCACACCGACGCATTAGTAGACGAGGGAGCAGAAATCACTCTCATAAGGAGAGATTTCACGACGATCACGAGATGTACGGTAAACAAGGAAGTAACAGGGAGCATCCGGGGAGGTGGCGGGGAAATCCCGTTCGCTGGGTACGTCACGTAGTGTGCTGTGAAGGCAGGGTCAGGGAATCGATCTGGTCGTTTCAGTGGATGACCGTAATGGAGGAAATGGACCACGACATAATCCTCGAGAGACTGTGGTGCGTGAACGTAGAGATGATAGGCATGCACTTGCATGATGGCTCATACATGGTAGACATAGAGGACCCTGTGACCGGCCGGGGAGAGCTCCTCCGACTCCTTGGAACGGGAGGAGACCCCCCGAAGGGAAAATTGGCAACATGGTCGCCGTCGTTCGAGGATAGCACGCGGAAAAGGGCTTTCGCATGGATGGAGGGTATGAGAGAAAGGGTAGAAATCATGATTGAGGAAGCATTCAACAAAAAGGAGTGGATCAAGATGGGCCTGCCCCAGAAGAAGAGGAGGCAAGAGGACGAAGTCCTAGGTGTTATGGTAGCGGAAAAGGAGTCAGAGGTCGAACGTGGTGCTAGCCTGCCCAAACGGAAAGAAGTACGCATAGACATGCCGGGAATCGCATTCGAGATCCCCGATCTATTGCAACTCATCAAGGCCCTCAGATACCACAAGGTAGGAGTGGATTCGGTAGCCTTGGCCAAGTTCGAAAGAGAGGTGCACAAGGGATATTGCCTGAATGGGAAACTAGTTAGTATTCAACCACGAGTCGTAGAGGCGACGGGGGCAATTCCGACTGTTCATTTTTTAGGAGAAAGATCCCGGAAGGAAGTGTTCGAAAGTACAAGCCTGTAGGGAAGAAAGTAAAACCGGTCTCGATCCTGCTAGAGACGTCAAAGGAAGAGACTATGGAGAAGGAGGAAGAGTTTCTTCGAGTGGTCCGAGAAAGAAGGGCGACGGAGGGACATCGAATACCAGATGAGGTAGCGAACACAATGAAGATAGAGACGGGTTCTTAACAGAAGAAGAAACCCGCCTAATCAAGAGGACCTGCCAGGAGTTTCACCTGACATTTGCCTTTAGTGATCACCAGAAGGGGCGACTGAATGCGAAGCTAATTCCTCCAGTCAGAATCCACACGGTAGAACATGAGTGTTGGAACGACAAGGGGCCGTCCTATGAATTTGGGATAGCAGGGGAAGTGACAGACCTTCTCCGAGCAAAAATGGACTCCTTCGTTGCGGAGCCTACGGCGTCGCCATACGCAAACCGGTGGTTCGTCTTTCGAAAGCCTAACAAGACGCTAAGGTGGATTCAGGATCTGCAGAAGTTGAATGCGGTAACCATCCGGGATGCTGGCTCGCTACCTCAGACTGACTTATTAGCAGAATCGCACGCTGGTCGAAGCATTTACTCCCTGATAGATCTGTACTCAGGGTACGACCAGCTTCCGTTGGATGTTCGGGACAGGCCGTACACCGTTATGCACACCCCCGTAGGCCAGCTACAGATGCAAGTGACTCCTATGGGATTCACAAACGCGGTGGTCGAAGCGCAACGCAGGATGCTCGCTGTGGTCGGGGACATGTTCCCAGAAAAATGTGAACCTTACATCGATGACAATCCGATCAAAGGCGCGCAGGAGAAGGGCGAGACGGAAGTCCAGCCAGGGATCCGACGTTGTGTGTGGGACCACCTGCAGGACATCAAGGATCTACTCCGACGGTTCCTAGTATACAACATTACGGCTAGTGGACCGAAGAGTATCCTAGCAGTACCGGAGGTAACTATACTAGGATTTCGTTGCGGTGCTTACGGCAGGAAGCCGGATCCGGCAAAAACCGACAAGATATCACAATGGCCGACACCGTTGCGCACGACAACGGAGGTAAGGGCATTCCTAGGCGTAATTGGCTTTTGGAGGATCTTCATTAAGAACTTTGCCAAGATTGCTGAGCCTATCCGGACTATGATCAGGGAAGAAGGAACCACGGATTGGACGGAGGAGCGAGAAAGAACTGTCCAAAGACTCAAGGACATATTGACATCAGAGACAGTCGCCCTGTCCACACCTTGTTTTAATGACGAAGTGGGACGACCCTTCATCCTAGAGACTGATGAAGGACCTTTGGCCGTAGGAGGTGTGTTGATTCAAAGGGATGAGGGAGGAAAAAAGAGGCCGATTAGGTTCGAAAGTAGAACCTTGAACTCCGCAGAGCGGCGGTACTCGCAATTCAAGAAAGAAGTCATAGCCATCCTGCATTGCCTTAAGACCTTCCAGGCCTACCTATTTGGGAGGCGGTTCATCTTAAGGATCGATCTGACGAATTTCGCAGGGGCTCTGAAGAATTACAGGCCTATAGATCCGACGGTAGGGAGATGGGTAGGATTCATCTGGCAGTTCAATTACAAGATCAAACAGATTGCTGAAATTCGCAACAAGGCAGATGGGCTGAGTCGGTTTTGCATCACTCCCGAAGGGATGGAGGATGCAGAGCCCATAGACGCCTTCCTCGAATAAAAAGGAGGGACTCTCGTGGTGGATAACGAAATGATGAGCGAGGGATGCACATCAGGAGAACTATTCATCCAGACTTTGGAGAAGGGGGCACCTGCTGTAGTAGCAGAACTAACAGAAGGACCAGTCACCACTCGAGGACACAGAGAAGAAAATGACTCATGGGGAGCGATAGTAGGACCGAAAGAGGAGCTAATAGCAATGGCGGTCGAAGGAGGCCGGGAAGCAGTGATGAGCTTAGTGGAATCTTGGAAAAGGAAAGAGTTGCAATGGGTGGTAAATCAGATGCAGGAAGGAAAGGATGGGGGCAAGGAAGGAGAGGAGTTTTTCTATGTCCAATCCTACGAAGGGCTCTTTCGGGAGATCGGTTTGTTGTTGGTAGGAAACAAACAACCTACGGAAGTCAGTATTAAGGCAAGAGAAGAAGCCGAAAGGTACGTCCTAAGGGGCTGGCATTTGTTCCGAAGGGAGGAAGGTGCTATGCCCAGAAGGGTTGTGTGCGGAAGATCTAGGCAAGTAGACGTTATCCAGGCAATGCACGACGGGTTAGTTGGAGGTCGTCGGTCGTCCAAAGGAACATTTGCAAAGATAACGCCGCTCTATTATTGGCCAGGCATGGCAGGCATGGTCGCCATTTACTGGCAGACTTGCCTTATTTGCCAAGAACGAAGCTCGGTACGAGTCTTCGAGCCGCTTAGACCAACGCGGGTGCTAGGGCCGGGACATCTGGTCCACCTCGACCTTGCGGTCATGCCTGTATCAACGGATGGGTACATGTATATCTTGGATGCACGAGACAACCTGAGCGGGTTCGTGGAGGCAGTCGCCCTCAAGAAAAAGACAAGGAGAAGTGTGGCGGAATGGATAGAAGACTTCTACTTAAGGCATCCGTTCGTCAGCAGGTTTATAGCAGACAACGAGACTGATTTTGTGAACCAAGAAGTATTGGGGATGCTTAAGAGACTCTGCGTTCCGATCAAACTCATCGAGCCGTATCACCCTGAGGCCAATGCACCTGTGGAAAGGGGGCACCGAACCTTGAAAAACACGATTGCAAAGCTCGCAGCAGACCATCTGGGGAACTGACCTAGGTGTCTTAAGCAGGCCGTCTTTGCAGAGAATATGACTCTTAAAAGGACAACAGGATGTATCTTGGCAGAGCTTTGGTATGGAAGAGAGATCGACTTTCCTGTGGAAGCCTTGGTACCTACCTGGAATAGGTTAGATGATGATCCGCAAATAACCACTGAAGAGTTAATCGAGGCAAGATGTCAACAAATCCTTAAGAATGAGGAGGTCGTGGAAGACATCGCCAGTCGGGTGCTGGACAACAAAATGAGGGACAAAGCAAGGTGGGACCAGGTTAAGAATCTAAGAAGGGACCTACTTCAGGTGGGGGAGATGGTATTGCTAAGGAACTCGACACTAGAAAGTATTTGGTCGGGACAGTTGGGAAGGAGGTTCAAAGGCCCCTACCGAGTCCCCAAGCGGGTGGGACTGAACACCTTCGAACTGGAAGATTTGGATGGAACTGGATTGAAAGGGCCTTTCCCGGGGCAACGACTGGTCAGGTTTCTAAGTCGGGACCCAGTGAAACAATGGCTTCAGGAGGCCGAAGATAAGGAATCAGAGGAGCCACAAGCTAAAGACTAACCACAGCCTTGCCCACACTATGGTTTGTCTCTGACCACGTTCGTGGGACTGTCATTTTTTTGGGACTGGTGCTTTGACTTGGATTGACTGAGGTTGAAAGGTGGCATGACTTGGGGGTTTGCAATATCTGGCTTATGTGACAATGGGAAGGGATGTTTGGGGCATTGTACCATAGTTTTTTACGAAAAAATATGGGGTCATCACAAACGACGCATTCGCATGTATAAAAAGGGCGTGATGCGAAGGATACTGGGTACATTTTGGGGATGTCTACCGGCTTAAGGGGGGAGGAGGCGTAAGTGTATGAGGGACATTGCGGGTGTTGTTTTGTTATACAGGGCTTAGGAGTAAAACGAGAAAAGACAAAAATGAAATTCGACAACGAGAACGACAGCGGGGCAATCAACAGGCTTACCGGAGGGGAAGAAGCTGGACCAAGCCAAGGGAGGAGGACAACGAAGAGAAAATTGTACATTGGGCTCATGGCGGGCCAGTGGTAGGCAGGGGTGGAAAAAAATGCTTATGTAGGAAACCCTCACCCCTCCACGAGGGAAAAGGTATAGAAATATCATCTGACAGTGAGGGCGAAAAGGGAAGAGCAAATGTGAAAGAAAGAGGCAACACAGAAATGGGTGATAAGGCTCGGGTCTCTAACGAGGAACGGGCCAACAGGGGCGAACCACGTGAGGCTTGGCATGGGGAAAGCGAGGGGGGATAAGGTATGCGCGACGAACGTGAGGAGGACGAGGAGAAAATGGAGAACCCGCTTGAAGGACGAAGCGGTCACGGCAGTTGCGAGGGGTATGGGACGGGGGCAGAGATCCCTTTTTCCTACGATCCAAAGAACCTTGTTGATGAGTATAGCCCCATACAGACTGAAGACGAGGGGGATGAGGAGGAGGATGTGCCAGAAGTCATAGAAATCAGCAGCGGGGATGAGAGGGATGAGATTTCAAGGCCTAGGGAAGAGGGGCGGCCTCCGATGCACCAACTGGGCGATGGGGCTTTCAGATGGGAGGACGAGTTCGGACCAACGCCCAATCATTGGTTTCAGCAATGGACCAATGTAATCAGGCACGAATGGATTATCAAGACTCGGGAACTCGCAAGGGCAAGGGTGGAAGCCACACCACTGAATTTTTTTAACGAGGCAGAGTTGCATAAAATTGTAAGGATGAAAAGAGAGATCGAGACCTACGGCCTGGGGGTGAGGAAGCCTGCCAAGGAACGGGGTGGACAAGGAACTGGGCAAGACGAGGCGCAAGGCAGCAATAGGAACTAGGTGTTGACCTAACATTGAAAGGGATCGCTGCTTTTTGCAGAGACATGAGAATGACAAGAACGTGTATAATATGGGCAAGCTTGCTAAGGAGGAAGTGAAAAGAGGGTCAGCCAAGGTTGTGTCACGCTGAAGTAGAAGATAGTTTTTGAGGCTACTTCTTGGATGAGCTACCTTGGGTACCTAAGACAAAGACATGGGATTTGGGATGAGACCAATTGGGAGAGGGTGTATTGTGAAATTTGGATGGAACAAGGATTATGCTTTTGAGAGAGGAAAACCTTGAGTACGGATTGACGAGCAAACCATGACATTGAATGATTGGTCGAGTACAAGAGAGGTTAGGGAACCTATGGGATAAGGGGCGTGAAGAACACTCCTTCCCTAGGAGCCTAATCCAACTGAGTCGTGAATGAGACTGAGAATAACTGAGACCTGAGAGATCAGGAAGAGTGAAAATGGAAGGGGCGCTTTTGTCTTTTGTTATTGATGAGCGGTCGGGTGGGCTAGTGCTGCTTGGGGTCGCAAGCCCCGACTCGAGTGCTAGACACTGAGTCGGATGTACGCATGGATGGTACATTACTGTGAGAAATGGAATGGATGGTACATTACTGTGAGAAATGGAATGAATGGTACATTACTGTGAGAAATGGAAGAAAGAGAACAACACGCAAAAGATGAGATGACCACCTTCTAACCTCCAAGACAGAAATGGGATTCGTAACCTCGAGGTCCACCCCCTCAGGCACTAACATTGAGAATGAAAAGGAATGACCCTAACCAGGCTGTTCGACTTGAGAATGGAAAAGAATGGCCCTAACCAGGCTGTTCGACTTGAGAATAGAAAGGAATGACCCTAACCAGGCTGTTCGACTTGAGAATGGAAAATAATGGCCCTAACCAGGCTGTTCGACTTGAGAATGGATAAGAACGACCCTAACCAGGTTGTTCGGGAATGGCCCCTGACAAGGGTCATTCCTTTTGAAATAGGCACTGGGGTCCCCTGCATATTGGATTGAGAAAGGTTGATTGAGAAAGGTTGATTGAGAAAGGTTGATTGAGAAAGGTTGATTGAGAATGAGCTGGAATGAGAGAGATGAAAAAGGTCGGTGGGTCAGTCATTGAAATAGCCAATGGGATGATTGAGAGAGATGGAAAAGGCCGGTGGGTCGGTCATTGAAATAGCCAATGAGATGAATGAGAGAGATGGAAAAGGCCGGTGGGTCGGTCATTGAAATAGCCAATGGGATGAGAGAGATGGGAAAGGTCGGTGGGTCGGTCATTGAAATAGCCAATGGGATGAGAGAAATAGAAAAGGCCGGTGGGTCGGTCATTGAAAATAGCCAAAGGATGGATGAGAGAGGTGGAAAAGGCCAGTGGGTCGGTCGTTGAAATAGCCAATGAGTTGAATGGAGGAAATGGAAAAGGCCGGTGGGTC